AAATGGTCTGTCAGTTACTCTAGGCCTTAGCCAAAGTTGGTTGCTCCAACGTTGCAAATGAGACTTTGGGTGATTTCCCAGGTAGCGAGTTGTCTCTGTCATTTATTATACATTTTGGAAGTTGCTTGATTACACTTCCTATCTATTCAAGTAATATTATCTTCTTTCTCAGATCTTCGATGAGGTTGAAGACTAGATAGTCATAATTACTTTCCTGTCATGACTTAGCCAAGCCATTTCTAATACAAGATTTAGATTCCTTAGGATAGCTATTGAAACATTTAGGATATGTTTCTTGCTTGATGTTGTTCATGCTGCTTATAATTCTAATTTTTATATATGTTTGATATTTGTTCTTATTGTGTGTAGTTTTGTGTTAGGTTTAGAACTCTCTTATTTACATATAGGCATCCTCCTGAATATTAAACTTCATCAGGCGATGAAAGGAGACAGAGACCCACATTGGAGCACCGGACTGAAATCTCAAGGTCCAAATCAGGAGCAGAAGGAGAGCGAGCATGAGCAAGGAACTCAGGACCGCGAGGGGTGCACCCATACACTGAGACAATGGAGATGTTCTATCGGGAACTCACCAAGGCCAGCTGGCCTGGATCTGAAAAAGCCTGGGTCAAAACCGGTCTCGCTGAACATAGCGGACAAGGAGGACTACTGAGACCTCAAGAACAATGGCAACGGGTTTTTGATTCTACTGGACCTATTGGTTTCGTGGGAGCCTAGGCAGTTTCGTGGATGCTCACCTTACTAGACCTGGATGGAGGTGGGTGGTCCTTGGACTTCCCACAGGGCAGAGAACCCTGATTGCTTTTTGGGCTGACGAGGGAGGGGGGCTTGATTGGGGGAGGGGGAGGGAGAGGGGAGGCGGCGGTGGGGAAGAGACAAATCTTTAATAAATAAATTAAAAAAAACACAAATAATAAAAAAAAGAACTCTCTTATTTAGACAAAAGGGGGTGGTGCTGTGAGAACTCCTTCAGCCAATGGCCTTTAAGATACTGACCTACTTTGGGTGTAGTTTCTTATACTATAAATGCAGACATAAATTGTTCACAGGCTTTTTGATTGCTGGATTCAGTTCCAGTTCCCTGCTCATGCAGAGGACTGCTGATCACTGCTTTTTTTTTTTTGCGTCTACCACTAAATAAATAAAACTTTATTACACTCCATTCTGAGCTAGTGTAGGACTATTTTATTATATACTGCAACAGATTTCCTTAGTTATGATAAAAGATAAATTAGGTATAAAACTTTAGATTAAAAAATAGAATTATAGAGTATTTTCCTTAATTTGTCAAATGTATATGGACTAAATATTGTAACTATAATTCTTGCTTGATATCTGTACTGGCTGCTCTCCCAAGGACCTAGATTTGGTTCCCAGCACCCACATGGCAGCTCGTAACTGTTTGTATGTTTATAACTTCAGTTCCAAGGGAGTAAACACATACAGGCAGGCAGAATGCCTATATGCATTAAAAATATTTTAATAAAATTAAATTTTAAAAAGTACATGGCACCTGAGAATTGACACCTGAGCTTCATCTCTGACATGTGCACCTGTACACATCTGGGCATGCATAAAGACATGCACACACATGTACTCATGCACAAACCAACTTAAGTTTGGCACTGTTTCCTGCTGACACCACACATCCTGTCCAGGATGTCTACATGGGTCTTTGTGGTCAGAATGCAGGCTCTGGAGCCAGCCCCAAGTCTACACTGTCTCCTGGCAGCCGTACTGTGGTGGGATTGATTTACTACTCACTGTCTCAACTTTGGGCAATCTATAACACCAGCCTCTCTGTCTTACAGGATCTGGGGATGAGGTTCAAGGATCCATTTCAAAAGCTTAAAACAATGTGTGATGCCCAGTAGATACAGAAGGCTCTGAGTTTACTGCTTTAAAGTATGTAATGTGCCTGGTTTTGGCTATAGCTACCATATATGCAAAAGATCTTCAAACCATGCACCCTGTCTAGAACTGTACACTGATTTTATGGCCTTCCTGTGTTATGGATTCTTCTTTGGGGTTTGGAGTTGGAGGGACCTGTGCCGTGAGAATAGCACAGTGGCCACCTTTCCTTGATGGCTTTGGTTCCCAGTCATCCATTAAATGCCTGGACTTTCCACAACAGCCTCAGGCACAGATGAATTGTTTACTTGAGATGTGAGCCTATCTGTCTTTTCCACTCTGCAGGAAATGGGGCCATGCTGGTGGGTGTGAATGAAGTCTAACTGTGTCTGCCTCCTGCAGCAGTCTGGGGAGGGCAGGTCCAGGCGACCAGGGGATCCACAGAGGAAGGTTATACCCAGCATGAATGCATTGGCTGCTGCTGAGTGGTCAGAACCAAGCATTTGCCCGGCTTACCATCCTCATGGCCTGCTGTGTCACTTATGAGTACAGAGCACCAGGGGGACACATGGGAGGAGGTCAGAGTTCCTCAGAAGGAATGCCTGATGTCCTTCATCATGTTACACACAACTTCTATAGCTCCTAGTTTGTTTTGTTGGGTTTTGAGGGGGTAGGGGTGTGTGTGTGTGTGTGTGTGTGTGTGTGTGTGTGTTTATATGTATCTGTATAATGCATGTATATGTCTATCTGTGTGTGTTTATATGTATCTGTATAATGCATGTATATGTCTATCTGTGTGTATGTGTGTGTGTGGTATATGCCCAGGTGTTCTGATAGGCACACAGAGCCTAGAGGAAGGTTTCAGGTGTCTGCACTGTGACTCTGTCTCATTCCTTTGAGACGGGATCTCGTACTGAACCCAGCTACACTGGCTGGCCAAGGAGCCCCAACAATCCTGTTCCACCTTATTCCCAGCCCTGGGGTTACAGGTACTTGTGGCTGTCCCCAGCTTTTTATGTGGCTCCTTGGAATCCAAACTCTGGTCCTCATGTGTACACAGCAGGCAACTCACCCACTGAGTCACCACCTCCCCAGCTCCGCTTTTGATTGATGGTTTTTGTTGTTTCTGAGACAGTGTCTTGCTATGCAGTCCTGGGGGTGGCGAGACTGAAAGCATATGAAGCAGGGTAACCTTCCATGTCGGGTAATTGTGAGCACTCCACCCTGCTCCCCTGAGACTTCTATAACCTATTCATGGAGGAAGAAGCATACAGGGCAACCCTAGCAGCCCTGAGTTCTCCAGCTTTGCAGGTCCTGTCCTGTGCCTGAGGGAAGTACCCGGCCTCAGAGCATTGGCCACTTGTTTAGAAAACATGCCGAGAGAGACCTGTCTCATAATGTGGTGGTGGGGATTAAATGTCATAAATTCAATTAATTTGAACACTGCACTTACCTGAGTACAGCTTGTGAGGGGGGAGGGGCTCTCTGGACTCTGACTCAGTCTCCAGATGAGCTCTGGGTTTTCCTGGCTGAGTCTCATTGTTCTCATTAAGGTTGTCTAGGCCCCAGCAGTCACTGCCCTGGGAACCCTAAGTTCTCAAGGTGAGCAAGAACGTCTCTTGTGAGGAGCCATTTCCCTCCCAAAAACCATTACAAGAACCATCGCCTTGGGGAGTCTGCAGAGAACCCCACACCTATAATTGTGTTGAGAGTCGTTCTATTGACAAAACCTGCCCCACACCCAATTAGCTGTTATCTGTTAGCGGAATCCGCCTCACATTCCAGCTATCCAGGGAACTAGGTGTGGCAACTCGCGACTTCTTGGCCTACCTGACCGAAGGTAACCTCCTGGCCTACGTGACCGGGACCACGTGGCGAGATCCCGTGCCCTGCCCCCCAAGCCCTCATCCAGGGGCTATATAAGCAGCAACCAGGACCCTAATAAACGGAGGCCGTGACAAACTTAGCATGGCCTTCTCCTTATTTCCTAGCCCATTCTCTTCCAGATAGCACCCCTCCGTGACCCTAGAGTAACTGATTGCAGGGTAGGTTACAAACCCCTAGACTGAGTAACCCACCCAACGCAATCAACAGTCTCTCTAGTAGCCAGCCTACCTGGACTCAGGTCTGTCATCTTCCAGGCATGGGAGAAAGGACCCAGAGTCACTGCCAGGAAGGGAGAGCCCCACGAGGAGAACAAAGTTCATCAATCCACGGAAGTTCGTCTTTCATCCATCTGGCCTGCATAGGGTTTTGGAACCATCCCATCTGGATGAGTTGCTAAGACCGAGAAACCAAGGACTTTCACCTGACCCTGCGCCCACACTCGAGCTTTGGCAACAACGCCTGCACTAGGGAGCTGTTCCCTTTAACACTGGGTTCAAGTGCTCGCCAGTCCTACCTGGGTTTCCAGCCAGGGCCTGTAGGCATGCAGATTTGTACCCTCAAGCTGGGGGCTGCTGCACAAATCTGTGTACACGTGTAAGCAACTTCCAGAGTTCCTGTCACCCCACTCACTCACTGCCCAGCGTCTATACCCCAGAGAGAGGTCAGCCCTGTTGAGATGAGTCTCTGGTGCTTCCCTTCAGAACGGTCTCTCTACTAGATGCTAGATACCCTGTGCTGTTATGTGAATACTTCTATTCCCTCCAAAATTATCTTGAAAGATTAATTTTTAGTGAACTGTGTGTGGTGGAAAGCAAGGCCTTACAGAGGTGTGTGGGTCACAAGCTCACCCCTCTTTCATCAAATTAATGCCACTATAAAGCCAGTTTTCAGGAATGAGTTCCTTCTCCTCTTAGGCTTTTTATGCCACATGAGGGAAGACACACTATCCTTCCCCTCCAGATGATGCAACATTCAAAATGCCGCATTGAAAGCAGAGAACAGGCTCCTCACCTGCCACTGCCTTGACCGTGGGGCTTCCTGTGAGAACTATCTTTCACAATTAGTCTGTGGGGCCTTGATCTTGGGGCTTTAAGTCTCTCCCCTAGGCCAACCTGCTGTGTCTAGCAGTGACAGTGTTGGGTCTGCTTCTTAGACCACAGGAGACTTGGAATAGCAGGTCAGACAGTAATCCTACATCCCTTGAGAGTGGTCGCCAACATCAGCAGAGAGGACAGACATCATGAGATTTACCATGTAAGTAGGCACTGTATGTGACGTATGTTCCAGGAGCAACAATAACAGTAGTAAAGACAGAATAGAAAATAACCATCTTCGAAATGACAACAAACAGGACACATTATCTAAGCACTAACACCTAAGGAGGTGGCTGCCCAGCTCTGGAGGGCAGCTCCTCAGGAGACAGGGGCCGACTTTCCAGGTTGCCTGGTCGTCTTCAGTCCTTGTAATTTTTCATCTTTCAGCGCCTTCAGGAATTTATCTGCAGGAGAGCAAAATAGACTCAGCTGTAGCTGGGAAGGCTTTTGGTTTGTTTCTCAGGGTCTTCCTATGTCGCTCCAGGCTGTTCTGGAACTCCTGATCCCTCTGCCTCAGCCTCCTAAGTACTGGGAGGCGTGCACCACCTCCGCTCAAAGGAGGAATCTTCTAACTTCCAGGGCAAGCTTCTGAGAAGCAAGTGTGTACAACCTTAAAGTCTCCTTAGCAGCCCAAACACATCTAACTCATATGAGTGAAAAGACTAACTCTAGGGACGTCTCCTGTGCCTATGCAAAAGTGTATCCCACAGGATGAATTGGAGACCATTCCCATGGCTGTGCCAACCTAAGTTGGTCTTTTTTCATACTTCACCTCCCTGTGTGGCAGAAGGGAGTAATTTACAGGTGAAATGGTCTCTTTAGTGATATCTGTCCTCCTCTAGTAGTCAAATTCAAGCCTTAGAACAGAAGGCGAAAAAGGACAGCCTATGACTACGAAAGCCTGAACAATTGGCCCTTCTGGAAATGCAGTTGGATTTAGCTCCCTGGCTGCCCAGTAGAGAGGAATCAGTTCATATTCCAGAGGACTCCTGCTTACACCAATACACTTGGTCAGCTCTGGGGTAGATCCCCAAAACCTGAGTCCTAAGATCAGATGTCAGAGTCCAAGATTCTGTCAGAGGGCTATAAGGCATGGGGCCCATGGAAGGGCAGAGGCCAGGGCTCCTCATTGAATGACTGAGGGCTTTCAAGGTTTGGGCAGTTCCTACCATCTCTTCCCATCCACAGACTCCAATTTAAGACTGAATATTGAAGATTAAGGCCTCTAGAGATAGGCAGCCTGTGGTGGGTGAAGTTCCAGACCACAAAAATGTGGTACTGTTGTGTAGGAAGGCGAAGTTTAGGAAGGGGGTACTTCAGGTGTCAAGACCCAGAGGGCGAGCCCCTGAGGGGTGGGGTTTAACACTAAGGACTTGAATAACTCAGGTGTGTTGAGGTAGGGGTCGGTTGAAATTCAGCACGTGGGGGTCTGGACCTTTGGAGGGCAGATTTTGGAAGTGGGACTCAGGGCTGGGGACAGTCTGGGGTCACATTCTGGCGACTGATGGACTCTAGCGGACAATTAGGGCAGCTAGGGTTGGGCTCGGTTGGCGGTCACGCACAGCGCTGGGAGTCGAAGCCGTCTCCAGTGATGGTGAGCAGCTCCAGCTCCTTAATCCGGATCTCTAGCTCGCACAGCTCCTCGGGGTGGGAGGCGGAGGCGAGCCAGGAGGTCGTGGAGCCGGGGACCAGGGCTGAAGTTGCCGGCTCGGGCCCTGGCGGCGGCGGCGAGTAGAAGAAGCGCAGAGGCTCATAGGGTATAGAGGCCAGGCCGGACGGCCAGGGCGGAGGGCACGGGCGCTCGCTGGGGGGACCCAGGCCAGGCGGCGGCGGCACCGTGGCTGGGGGTGCCAGAGGCAGGGGTCGGACCCCCGCTATCCCTGCCACCCCGGATGCCGGCGCTCCGCCCGCCTTCAGTGGCACAAAGAGCTTCTTCCAGATGTTAAAGTCGCTCAGCGGAGACGACGAGATGCCCCGGTCATAGAGCGACGGGAAGTAGAGGGGCGGAGCCGGCCGCTGGCTCATCTTGGGGTTCTGGCTGCCGCGCCGCCCCTTCGGCATCTTTTGAAAGGGTGGCTGCGTGAGAGGAACCCCGCGCCGGGAGACGCGTGCCAAGGCCCCGCGTCTAGGAATTCGGAGATTCCACAGGCCCCGCCCCGACGGAGCGCGGCCCCACCCTTCGCCCTCGCCCCGCCCCGAGAAGGCGGGGCTCCCGCGAGCGAAGGCCCCGCCCCGCGAGCTGGCTGGGCGGAAAGCCGGGTCCGTTTTTGGTCTTTGTTGGTCCCAGCTGCAGCTCTTCCCTACTGGCTCCAAAATTGCCGTGGCTCCCTTTCGTCTCGGCTAGCCTCCTCCCTGCGGCCTTCAATTCGATTTCTGCTGCTCTCGAATACTAATACTGCTCCCGGAGTTGGCCAAGGTTACAAGAGAAATTCAGCCTTCCTCTCCTTTTATCGGAGAGCGGAAAATATTTCCCAACAGCCGGGTTCTGGCACACTTGACTCATTATTTAGGAAACTGAGAAAATGGGTGGCTGACTTGATCCTCTAGAGAGACAGGAGGAAAATTTTTTTTTTTGATAAATTTAGCGATACTGTGCAAGATCCTGGAAATATGGAACCAGTCTGAATTTGTAATGACTCCGAAGCAAACAATTTTATTTTCTTTATGAAGTTTAATTCTCTTTTAGACATGTAAGTTATCAGGGGCTGACAGGTAGTTTAACACCAAAAGGAAATCCTCATGGGGCCACCCAAACACCACACCCATTCCTGAGAACTGGATGTTCTGCCCACAGAACAGGTACAGCTCATTTCTATGAAATATTAGTCATTAGCTAAGGGGGGGGGGTCAGTTTCCTTGAGGACGTCCTCGTAATGATCACCAGCATGACTGAACTGGAATGGATGGGAGCCAAGAAAGCTCAGACAGCCTCAGCTTCGTAAGTGAGTGCTGTGTGTGTGCATATATATGCTAAATATATAGGGTGGGCAGCAAAGGATGGAGTCTGGTGTCCAAACTGGTCATTTTGGGCAAGTAGTTTGACTTGGGGGAGAAGCTGTTTTGGTTTTTGAGGTAAGGTAGTCCAAGCTGGCCTAGAACTTTCTATGTGGACCAGGTTAGAGCAGCCCTCCTGTCTCTCTCCCTGGTGGAATTAGAGGCAAGCATTACCACACCTAGCGTGGTGCTTGACTTGTAAATCAGGGTTTTTTTTTTCCTTTTTTAAGTTATGTGTGTGCATGATTTATGTGTGCGCATGAGTTTATGTGTTTCATAGGCACGGAGAAGCCCACAGAAGTCAGGTGAGGCTGTGGGTGCTGGGAATTGTACCAGGGTCTTCTGCAATGCTCTAGTGAAAGAACCACCTCATCAGAGCTGTTAAGTCAGTTGTCTATAAAATAGAAATAAGAACTCCACGAGGGATAAGAGTCCTTTGAGATAAGAGTCCCTCCTCCACCTCCTACAGTAAAGAGTTTTATTATGTAAACAAGATGAGCCTAAGTTAACAATGAAAAGGACAATATGGTAGGTGTGCCTAAGGCACAGAAATTTACCCAACAGCTCTCCCACTAACGAAATACCTGTTACGTGCTCCAGCTCCCCGCATCCAGTTACTTGCGGATGGCCACTAGGCAACTGGGGCACTTTCTGGCTTCTGGCTCACAGAGGGCAACTTTCCCTTTTCTTCCCCTCCCCTCCCCACAGCTGCATGACCTATTGTTTTCTCCTCCCAACTCCAATAAATTGTCCTCGAGTTACCCTGTGCCTTGTTTTTAAAATTCTTTCATTTTGATATCAAAAGCCCGTTTTTAAAAGGGAACCCTGTGTCCTACCATGGTAAGGCCAAGGTTGCCTTCATGGCCTCTGGTCTTCAAGTTCCTCTTCTAGCAAGTAGGCTGACTCTTACTGGAGGTTGTTTGTGTCATAATCTAAGGGCCATGCTAGTCTAAGGAACACAAAACAGCCCTTTATTGCTAGCCTGAATTATCCATTGTGCTGGTGTGGACTTGAGGGCTTGGGAAGTCCCACTCCACAATTCCCACTATTTCAAAAAATGTTCTCAAAAATGCAATCCAGCCTCTATGCTTGTTTTTCTGGGTACACGTATTCCCATGTCCTTGCAGAGGTAGGAAAAATTGAAATTAGTGAAACTGTTAATGAAAGTTAACGATTAGACAGGTTAATGAAACTAAAGTCTGTGAGCTAGGCTAGTGGAGTAAGGGGTAAGAAGTCTGGCAGATGAGACGTTCGAGTAAACCTTATCAACCAGAACAATCAGGTGTGCTAAACTTGGTCTGCTTCCTCCAGATATGCTCCACCTCTCAGAGTTTCCAGAACCTCCTAAAATAGCAGCACCAGCTGAAGCAGCAGCCCAAAGCTGAGCCTGTGGGGGAATTTCACACTGAAACCTTAACAAAACTGAAAGCTTGGGGATTGCATTTGTGGGGTGCAAAGTCCAGGGCAAACTCAGGAGTAGAGCAGGATCAACTGTATGGCCTTCAGCGTAGCCACTAGAGAGGAGATGCTGCTGCCTGGCATCCATGTGGCTATGCAGTCCTTTTCCTTTGCTTCCTTCGCCCACAGAGGCTGGAGGAAGTAAACACCAGCTGTCCCCATTCCCCTTGCAGCTCACATAGTTACACGGTCCAGACTCAGGCAGAATATATGAGCAAGAAGACACCTGTGAGTTTTGTAAGACAGATTTAATTTCCTAGTAAGGAAAACTGAAACACAAGGCTTTGAACATGGATGCAGTGCAGGACTTCGTGTTTGTGAGGGAAAGATGAAGCCCCCACTAATATAGCAGCTCAGACGGTGCTGACCAATAGGACCAAAGCTAGTAGCTGCTCATCTCGGGATTGTGGCTGCAACAACAAAACAATCCGATTTTATTTGATTACATTAGTTGGGTTGTCTGCTGCTTGAACACCTGAGAGTCACAGTTTCAACAATAACAAGTGTATTTTGTTTTACTGGGCCTTTGCAGAACTTCACTTGGGTGAACCTCCAGAAGAAAACATGCCTGTTCTTTATGCTTTGGTCATGGGAACTTTTATTAAGTTTCCCAAGACTGAAAGGATAGATGTAATTTCCCAAAAGGCAATTGAAGTGTCTGTTCCTAGAAGGGAGGGAACAGAGACCGCGCGAGCCAAATCCCCCATTGCAGCAGGTCCCATCATTGTAACTGCCAATGGATGCCCAGACGTTTGCTCTGTTCACTGCCTCCCCACAACAGCTCAGGGTTTTGCTCTCATGCCAACCTTTCTCACGGTAACTGTCTCAGTGAAGTAGTTTTGGTTGCAACAGTTAGAAACTTGATCGAGTTAGAAACTCAGAACAGAGAAGGGATTAATAAGGGGAGGACTAACTGAATCCCAAGGCAGAGCTGCCTAAATTCCATACCCTAGCCAGGGAAACTGGTGCCGCCTGTGATCTGTCTGTAATCTTTAAACACTCGGTGGGCTTGGGTAGAGGTAATACTACTCATATTGAAAACTGAGAATTATGGGAGCAACCATACTGATCATGCTTAGGGTCATGCCTCACACAAGTTCTTAGGCTGTAGCCAGGACCTGTATAGGCCTGAAAGTCAAGTTTATTCCAGAGGCTAAGGTAGGAATAGCAAAGGCTCAAGGCCTGCCTGGGCAGTTTGACAAAAACCTATCTCAAAGTAAAAAGGGCTAGAGTTGTAGCTGATTGTAGAGCACTTGGAAGCCACACAACGTTCTGGGTTCAGTTCCTCATACTGTGAAAACAGAAGTGCTCACGCAACCATTGTTGGGATAATCTTTTTGTACACTGTGTGCAAACACGTCTCTATTTAACCTCACCTGCCTACGGCATTTTCTGATTTGTTTAATTAAGCTAGGCAGGAGAGGTTAGGTTGGACTTTCAGGCAGAGATAAGAACTCTGGGAAAGAATATGAGGCAGGAGATTTCCCCAGCCAGACATGAAGGAAGTCAGATGTACAATACTGAGAAGAGGTAATAAGCCAGGTGACAAAAAATAGCTTAATATGCATGGGTTAATTTAAGTTTTACAAGCTAGTTGGGAGCAAGTGTAAGCTTTCATAATTAATAAAAAGTCTCAGTGTCATTGCTCGGGAGCTGGCGATCCAAAGAAACCACTGCATTCCGCGCTGAAAGGTGCCAGGTCTTGTTGGGTTCAGAGAGGTTGGGTTTATGAGTTACAACACAAAACTCCAGTTCTGGCTCAGCATAAATCACCACCATCCGTCACACCACACCTACATTTCCCTACAACCAGATGAATGGGGATTTACTGGGCCAAGCATAGCAGGGCTAAGAACCACAAAGCCTCCACCCACCCTCAGGGAAGCTAATCACAGAGAGGAAATGACCCCTCCACAGACTAGGAAGCTTGAGCTCCTGGTTTAGAAGGGACTTCCCCTACAGGCCATAAGCCATCCTTCCCTATGCCAGAGGCTCTGCACAGTGACTGGGGCGGAAGTAATACTGTTTCAATGGATTACTGTAGGCACTGGTCGGGAAATAAGGCTCTCGGTGGTCATTCTTCTTTCTCCCCTGTAAGATGAGTATATATGAACAGGGGCCTTAGATGAGATAAATAAGATTATTCATCAAAGAATTTTATTCCAATAATGTAAGAATTTGGAAAGGAGCCCTCTGGTCAGTTCCTCTTTCCATCAGGCAGTGGGTTAAGTATGGGGTGATTTGCTGTAAGCCTGAGGCCTCAGTAGCCCTAACAGCCCTGTTCTCTGCTATGTTAGGCAATTTTTGTGATTGTGGGGGAATGCCTGAGAGAAACAACTTAGGACAGAAGGAAGTTTATTGTGGCTTCCAGTTTCAGAGGCCTCGTGGCTGGCTGGCTCCATTGCTTTTCCGTCTGTGACAAAGCAAACCATTAGGGCACCGAGTGTGTGGCAGAGCAAAGCAAACCTCATGGGCTCCAGGAAGCAGAGAGAGGAAAGAGATGAGGACCCAGTATTCCCTTCAGAAGCATGCCCCTCAATTGCCTCATGCCAAGTTCCACCTTCTAAAGATTCTGTCATTTCCCAATCCATAGCACCATCAGCTGGGGGCTAAAATGTTCACGAATGTGGTTTTGGGTATCACTCCCTAGTACCCCAATAATTTAACCTGCATACTGCTTATCACATACTTTACAAATGCATTCATTCCCCTTCAGATCCAAGGTGTGTGCAGAAAGCCCAGGCTAGTGTTGCTTTTGTTTTTCCTTTAAAGCAATGAACAGGACTAGTAATAAGTTGCTTGCCTACTGTGCATGAAGCTCTTGGTTCCGTCTCTAGCACCTCATAAACAGGGTAGTATAGCACGATTAATAAAAATCCAGACACATAAAGTGGGGTTCAACCTGAAGGTCAGAAAAACCAAACAGCCAGCCATTGGCTCTCTTACCTCTACTTCCATCTGAAATGGTGATCCAGGAATCTCAGAATGAGACTGTGTTTATGAGCTGTCTCCTCCAGTCTTAAGTTCCTCTATAGGGCTGGGATTAAAGGTGTGCACCACTGGAATTAAAGGCATGCACCGCCCAGCCTGGTTTCTGTGGCAAACTAGTTTGGCTACTGGGATTAAAGGTGTGTGTCACCACTGCCTGGTTTGTAAGGCTGATTACTCTCTGATCTTCAGGCAAGCTTTATTTACTAAAATACAAATGAAGTCTCACTACAGGGTAGGGTGGCACACATTTGCAATCCTAGCACTTGAAGGCAGAAGCAGGGAGATCACAGGCTATCAAGGTTTCTGCAGCTATACGGTGAGACCAGAGAGAGTCTGGGATACGCATATCTTCCAAGTACTAACCCACATGCTAAACTGCTGCTATATTAAAATATCTGCAGCGGGCATTTACAAACAGAATGTGACATTGTAAAACTTTAAGACCATTCTGAAGCCATTTCTGACAATTCTGAATCCTCTCAGCCTCCGTGCCATAGTGCTTCCCCTCCTCCCCTGGGAACCAAGGACCTAACAGCTACACATGCACATATGTTCTCCAGAAATTGGGGCAAGATAACCTTTAAGATGTTGACTCAGTTTCTGAACAATTACCCATACACGTATGTTTTGATTCAGTCACCTGGGAAATGGGGTCAAAATGACCTCTTACCTCATCTGATCTGGCAACAGCTCTCCAGCCAACTATTGGTAATAGCCCTTTCAACAACCCCCCTTGCTTCTGTGGCCTTCTCTTTTAAAAGTAGCTTGTACCAGCTATTTGAGGTCTCTCAGCTTTCCAAATGCTGAGGGACCCTGTCATGACAGAATTAATAAAATCCTCATGCTTTTGCATCAGCTATGGTGTGAGGGGTGGTCTCTGGGGGCGACTCCTCCTTGGTGTTTGGACTCTAGAGTCCAACAACATGAAGCTAGTGTCTAGAAACGATGTTTCTAGAAAGGCTTACACTGATGGGGAACCGTTCAATGAAAGACAGGCGCTTAAATTTTCTTTTGTAAACAAAGGCAGGAATTGATTTCTTCAAAGTATGAAAGTGTCAGGGTCGGTAGAAATTTGAATGTATTTGCTCCCATAGGCTCATAGGGCGAGGCACTATTAGGAGGTGTGGCTTTGTTGGAGTAGGTGTGGTCTTGCTGGAGGAAGTGTGTCACTGTGGAGGTGGGCTTTGAGGTCTCATATATGCTCGATATACCCAGTATGACAGTTCACTTCCTGTTGCTTTCTGATTAAGATATATCTAGCACCATGACTCCCTGCACATGGCCATGATCCCTGTCATGACGATAATGGACTGAACCTCTGAACTGTAAGCTGCTACCTCAATTAAATGCTTTCTTTATAAGAGTTGCTGTGATCATGGTGTCTCTCCACAGCAATAGAAACCCTAAGACAGGGTCCTATGCCAGGTTTCTTTTCAAAGTCACCCTGAGGTACATCAAGATTGTGCACACAAGGAGGATAGAGGGAGGGTGACCGCAGAGCTCAATGTGACAGGTTTAAGGCCCAGCACCTAAGTTGCCCTTACCACAGTGTCAGGTGAGCACCACCTTAGCCAACACTGCCCACTCAACACAGCAGCTCTTAGCGAGAGAGCCAGCCAGTATCGGTTCTGATGGGTTTACAAGCCACAGAGAGCAGTGTGTGCTAAAAGGCTTTGAAGACTGACAAAAGACTTACCTTGAGCAACCTAGATCACCTGGCCCTACTAAGAATAAAGATGTACAAGTCTGTACATCTGGTTCATTCTCTTAGGAAGTCTCACATTCAAGCCAGCTAGAACAGAGTCGGGCGGGCTCTTATTTTGTCAGGATGCACACACCATGTTAAAGCACGGGCTGACGGCCAGGATAGAGGAGCCATTTCCCCCACACCGTACTGCTTTGAACCCACAGCTCACCTCCTAAAGACAGCCCAGTGGGGTCGTTTCTGCCCAGCACTGAACGGTATGACCATTTCTGTGAGACCCAATGATGACCTGATCTCTACTCAGGTGATCTCAGCAGAGCCACCTGTGGGGCCAGACACCAACCCATCAGCACAACTTTGTGCAGAAAGAAATAGTAGCCCCTCCATTTCCTCATCCAGCAGAACCCAGATTCTGTTTTCAAAAAACTGCCTCTTGGGGGCCAGTGACTTAGCAGGTAAAAGAGCTTGGCTCCGAAGCTCCCAGCTCTCATGATAGATGAGAAGCAACTCTGAGTTCTCCTCTGACCCCTCACCTCCACACCACATGCATGCTACACACACACACACACACACACACACACACACACACACATTAAAATTAAAAGGAAAAAACAACACCTACTGTTGCTTGCCTCCTGCTACCACACCCTGGGGGTGGGGTAAGATGGCGCAGACTCTGGGGAGTTAGGTCAGTAGCAAAGCAGACTCGTTTATTGTGCGTGTCAATCAGACCTTTATACCCCCTCCCAGGACCCAGTGTCATCTGGAACGCTGTATTGTCTCTCCTTCTTGGCTTTGGCCATCTGATGTCATGGCATCATCAGTCTTGGGGTTCCCCTGCAGGCTTCCAGTTGACTCAAGGGGAAGTTACCAATGCACCTGCTGGACTGGCCTCGAGATTTCCTACTGGGCAGTCAGAGCTGGTTTTAGTCGGCCTCAGCCTCCGCCTATAAGCTATCTCACCACCCCCAGTGAACTCTTTCCATAAGTGTAGATACATGGCCCAAGACACCAGGCAGACAGTCTTACACTGGAATCTAGATCTTGAAATAGACTTCTGGAACAGTAAAATTCCTAGCTTTTTGGAATCTTGGATGCATCTCACTCACACAAGACACACTTACAAAAATTGAAATAACCTATTTTTTGTTGAAATGATTCAATTTCAGTTATTGTTCTTCTGAACTCATATGAAATATGCTACTTTCCTCAGCCAGTTGCTGAGGGAAAAATCCTTTTGCGGAAATAGTCGTAAATGATAATTTGACTTGGCAGAGAGAGTGACCCAAAGATGTAAAGAAACACTGAGCCAGCAGAGGACACTGATAATCCAGACTACAGGAGGCGGAAGTGCCCAGCAGTGCTTTCTTTCTGTTGCTACCTGAGCACATTGTATGGACTGTCTGTCACCTTTCTGCGCATCACACTCCTCCACTGGCTGAGATTTGATGTTCAGAACAGCATCATCATTGCATAGCTGTCTGAAATAATGAACCATACTTGCGATTTGTCTAACAGATTATATAATCGAGAGAATTCTCTCTCTTTTTAACTTAACATTTTTTTTTTTCAAGACAGGGTTTTGCTATAGCTTTGGAGCCTATCCTGGAACTAGCTCTTGTAGACCAGGCTGGCCTCGAACTCACAGAGATCCGCCCACCTCTGCCTCCCGAGTGCTGGGATTAATTAACATCCTTTTTTTAAGAAACAGTTTTTGAGGTTAATAAAGAAATTCCTTCTTCCCCAAAGGTCAGGCGGTGGCAGTGAATACAGCTAAGACCCCCAAGCTCAGGTGTGGTAAAATCCACAGATCTTGTGAGCCACTCTTCAGCACGTGCAGGGAAACGGCCTTCTCCTTCCCTAGGAAGGAGGCTTCCAAGGCCGGCGGGAGAAGCATGCTGCTGCTGTTCCTGAAAATGTCTAATGAACATCTCAAATGCCAGCCCCACAATCTGCTCCACCATGACCATCCTTTGTGCACGCGCACATGAAGGGTCTTCCTGCTAGGTGACATTTGAAGTAAACGCACCCCCCTCTGTCATATAGCACAGGCTGTTTATTATTTCATTATGTGGAGCAAAGTCAAGATAATTTGCTTTTCTAAGAAAAAAAATGAGAGGAAATAACTAAATATTTATTTATTTATTATGAATACAATGTTGTGTCTGTGTGTATGCCTGCTGGCCAGAAGAGGGCACCAGACCTCATTACAGATGGTTGTGAGCCACCATGTGGTTGCTGGGAATTGAACTCAGGACCTTTGGAAGAGCAGGCACTGCTCTTAAACCTCTGAGCCATCTCTCCAGCCCCAGGAAATAACTTTAATACATTATTATAGGCGATTACATTTTTTCTAATAAAAATTAGGAAAGCCCATGCAAAATTTAGAGATGCGGAAAACCTCAAACTGTAGTCACTGGTACTTCTACAAAAAGAACAGACAGACTTTTTGTGTTTCCTTCTTCATTTTTTTTGTTAGTGTTTTGATTTTTCTTTTACTTTTCTTTCTTTTTTTTTTTTCTTTTTTTTTGAGGCAGTCTTACTATAAGTTCAGGCTGGCCTTGAACTTATGGCAATCCCCCTGCCTCTCCAGTGTCGAGATAACAGGCTTGAGCTGGGAGTACGGCTTCAGGGTACAGCACTTGCCTACAGCCTGCTCAAGGATCTGGGTTTCACTCACAGCTTTATTTTCTTCTTTTTCAACAAACAAACAAACAACATCAGTGATCCTGATTGACAGCTCACATCTGGAATACTTGCACACCAACTCAGGATCTGCAACGGCTATGGAAGTATTTTATGTGTAACAGAATGATGAAAAGAATCCCCCTGGCTCGCTCACCCTAAAGGTACTGACTGCACTTCTCAGCTATATTCTAGGAACCAGAGAGATATCCCTGAGGGTTGCCAAAAGCCCACTTAAGCAGAAATAGAAAGCCAGTCCTCCCAAGAGCAGAGGAAGATTTGTATAACCTATGGGAATTGGATCTACAAACTTCACCCTTAAACTTCAAGTGGTTTTCCCTGGGTACAGGGTGCTCCTCACACTGCTTAGTCCCTTCTTCTTATCCACGATAGTCAAGTGAACTTTATTCTTTCCCAAAAGGCTATAATGGAAAAAAATAACAGCTTTGGAGTGCTGCAGCAGCCCAAGAAGATGGAGAACAGAGGCGCTTCGGAGCTCAGTGATGACTTAGAAACACAGCCTCCAGATGGCTGCCAGAACTGAGGTCCCCAGCAACGCAGTCTTCCCAGATAAGGAGGTTGCCTCATCTTTTGCATCGTTGCCTTCTTTGAGCTTTTTGTTACACATGTCCGCCTGGCAGCATCTGTACTGGACATTTACGAGGTCTAATCGGCTCAAAATGAACATGGAATCGCAATCTGAAAATTTCCAGCACTGCTGATAGATCTGCCTTCCTGTGGAGAGGGAGACAAACATACACTAAGAAGCCACGCAGGAGCAGTTCTGAACCTGCCATTCTGTCTTGGAGCACAGTCTATGGAAGAGAGAGGTTTGGGTAGAAATAGGCATCCCAACTGGGGCGTAAAGGGAAACAAGAAAGTGATGGCACAAATGGAGAAGTCCCCATAAATCTAAAGTCTTGTCGGTCAGTGTGTGAATTTGGGGGTGGTGGTGGTTATAAGCAGTTCTATTTCTATTTATGAGGGAAACTTAGTGATAGTTACTAAGATTTTAAATGGGTGTTGCCTCTAGTCAATCAATTCTATCTTTACAGTGAAGGAAAAGAGACAATACTATTTGTAAAGCAAGCACTTAAAAAATATCTATTCATAAATCTATTTACTACATAGTGATGGAGAGAGAGAAATACTACTTCATACCTATAAGGAGGACTAAGATCAAGAAAAATGAATGAAATAAAACATATTAAATGAAAAAATTTCAACATCATCAAAAAAGCAAAACCAGAATGATCCTAGTTCTCACGGGGAGGATTACTACATTTTATACCTTAGCAGTGAAAGTGTGGTAGACTGCCCTCCTCCCCTCCCCCGTGGAATCAAATACTTTGAACATAAGGCCTAGAATTCTGGCCACACTCCAGGAGTTTATATAAAAATTACCAGGTACTCCTATTTTTAAAACAAGGTACCTTTGATTGGTCCTTACTTGAAAGATTTTTTTTCTTCCTGAGAGAAAATACTGAAGGCAGTTTTTATTCTTATCTCTTGGAGAGGGTTTATCTCACACACCAGACCATCCTGAGGTGGCCACTGCTCCATACAGTTGATCGCACATTGCCCACACACAGTTACCGAGCTTATAGCCGCGGCCACGCACAAAGGACAGCTGCAGGCTCTTCCCTGTCTACCGTTTCCTAAATTCTCTGTGGAGATTCTAGTTTAGCCAACGTAGAAAAGCAGATGATGTGGGCTTGTGCACATTATGTTCCTTCCCAGGCTTATAGACACCTTGTTCTTTGAGACCCCTCTGCAGCACCTGCAGTATCCTCTCGAATGACCAATTCTCCTGATCAGCTATGTGGAGTCGGACAGAGGTCTGCACTCATTTGGGACAGGCAAACAGGCTGCTGTCGAAGTTCTGCTCAACCCCTTTCTTCATCTTGCATCCCTCCCTAGGCTCCCACAAGTTTGGGAGGCAAGCACACTATTGTCATTAAGAAGCCTGAGGTTTGGAATCAGATAAAATTTCCAAATTCACGTCCTATGTTGACTGCCTGTTGCGTTATCTGAGCCTCCATTTTCTCATCTGTCACACAGGAGGGCTGCCCCAAGGGTCATGTGAGAAATGCCATATTTGTAAAAAGTATACAGGAAATGCTTGGTGTGCAGTCCTTTGTGGCCAGCTGGCGGTGCTTAACAGCAGATGTTACCTGATGAGTCCAAATGAGTGGGATTTAGGTCCAGTTTCCCAGGTTCTTGGCCCTGACCACACTTAAACAGGAAGCCCAGGGGCCCTTACCGGACACGGCGATGAGACAGGAATCCTGGTTTGGTGTACAAGTGACGTTTGTTCTGCATGGGGAAACCGGGTCTAAACAGTTGTAGCAGGTGAGGCTAACACCTAGAGTCAGAAAGAAAGAAAGAAAGACTGTTGGGGGGGCTGGAGAGATGGCTCAGTGGTTAAGAGCATTGTCTGCTCTTCCAGAGGTCCTGAGTTCAATTCCCGGCAACCACATGGTGGCTCACAGCCATCTGTAAAGAGGTCTGGTGCCCTCTTCTGGCCTGCAGACATACACACAGACAGAATATTGTATACATAATACACAAATAAATAAATAAATATTTTTTTTAAAAAAAAAAGACTGTTGGGTTCCGTTAAACCAACAATGACTTTGGCAGACGTTACCAGTGAGCACAGGTTTGGGTCAGCTTGTTTTAATCTTTTGTTTATTTGGAGGGTTTTTTTTGTTTTGTTTTGTTTTTTTGTTTTTCAAGACAGGGTCTCTCAAAGCAGCCCGGCTGTCCAAGAATTTGCTCTGTAGACCAGGCTGACCTTGAGCTCAGGGAGATCCACCTGCCTCTGCCTCCTGAGGGTGCCTCTGGCTGCCACCACTACCTGGCTTTCTGTTTAAATCAAGATTTTGACAATTTCAG